TTTTTTTTTTTTTTTTTTTTTCGAATTGTGGATCTTGGGTCTCGCTCCACTACTCTCAAGATGTGTCTAACGAGAGTGAATCTTCAGCTAGAACATGGAAAGATACATCGCCATGCTTTTTGTCTTTTGTGCATGTCGAGAGTAGTGGAGCGAGGCCCTTGTGTCGATTCGTGTCTGTCATCCTTGGACAGGGACCATGCTAATTCGTAGCACGGTCAGGAGAGGTCCGGAGGACATATACTCGATTTTTTCAGGGGGGGCATTTTCCAAACTTAGTGCCCTTTATTCGTAGCATAACGCACGTGCGTTATATACGAATAGATAACGCACGTGCGTTTTGTTCGGGGAAAGACTGTAGCGCCCGTTCTGACAGGTGTCAACTAAGTACTGAGGTTAGGAGGGGAACAATCAACTCGTGATATTCACGAATTCAAGTCTCGACAGGCTGAGAGGGGGTGCGAAACGTAGTCCGTCTTTGTCGATTTTTAATAAACAATTCATTTAACAAACAATTCTGAAAAACTCCCACATATGGGCTAGGTGCCCTCCTACCCGTAGAAAAAACATCCAGAGTAAACAAAAATAATTTCGGCCATGAAACAATTATTGGCGCGAAGTGAAAAATATGAGTTTTTTCAAATTTATGATCCCAGGCTCCCCTTTTGTTTTTCTTTGTGATTTTTTTTTTTTTTTTTTTTTGCTGGCTTCAGCAAACGGTTACTTCACTCTCGCGGCCCATTAGTGCAACGTTGAACTGTCGAAATACAGACTCAACATCGAATCCATAGGCAAACGTGGAAGCACAATCATTCTCCCTTCTTCCCATACGCATTTGAAATACAGACTCAAGATTGAATCCAAAAGCAGCAAGCTGCCTTCACTCCTTTAGGGAACACAACAGAAATGCACCTCCTCCTAAAACACGGGGAGGCGCATTACCTCATGCTTTCACAAATGGTACCAACTTTCCCAATTCTAAGGAATCGGGGAGGGGAGGATACATAAAAAAAGAAAAAGAAAGAAGGAAGAACAAAATTAAAAAAAATAAAAAATAAAAAAAACAAAAGCTTCAAAAAAAAAAAAAAGACTCCCGTGAAAACAGGTGCCCAGCGAGCCTCTCATCTTATGGCCAGCAGACAGTTTGCTTGAGCTTGTAGACAGTATGGGCCCCTAGCCCAACGGTTAGGCCTCTAACCCATGACCAAACTTCTAACCCCCACCAATCTATCGTCGGCTCGAGCTCGACTATGGCGCAGTGTTAGGAACGGTTTAAGTCTCACTCCCCTATTTGCGGCTCGAATGAGTGTCTGGTCTGATAGGCCAGAGCATCGATGTCCAGACCGGTAGATGTATCGTTAAAGTCCCGCAAGCATACATGCAAAAAAAAAAATAAAAAAAAAATAGGCAACTTTTTCTTTTTATGCTGCGGTCGTGAACCAAACGGGGCCATTATTTTTTTGATCACCCAGGCTCTAAATCACGCGGTTGGTGCTATTAGGTCGGACATTTTTAAATATTGTACTTCAATAGCCGCATGTCGTTGCAACCCCTCGACAAAAGTGAAGTATCGCCAGTTACCACCGCCATTTCTGGATGCCGCAGGCGTCCAGACTTAGATTCATAAAGTTTTAACCTCTCGGTCAGTGGTGCGGTCGGAATAACTTTTAGGCAAACGTGTCATTTTCTCATCAAGTCCCTCAATTCAATGAAAAGGTCGGATAACGTCCGACGTTGAAAAACAATACCCTTGTAAGGAAGGGTTTCTGCTTCGACACCGCGCACCGCTGTACACATACAAGGGTTTCTGCTTCGACACCGCGCACCGCTGTACACATGGATGATTCTGTGTGTGTGTGTGTGTGTGTGTGTGTGTGAGAGAGAGAGAGAGAGAGAGAGAGAGAGAGAGAGAGAGGGGCCAGCTGTTGCGGTATTCTTCTCTCAATTTTACCTCACACTACTTACCTACCACACTACCTACCTACCAGTGCTCCAAATTATAGTCATACGGGAACCCCGTAGCAGCCAGAACCGCGTTCACGAGAGAATATGCAGGGGCTGCTCCGGACCTGCCAGTGGGCGATACTGGCCAGGGGACAGCCGGTAGCATCCGGGACCATGCCAACCGGACCAATCCCTGTGAATATCTTCAGGGAAGACAGCCCAGCCGGTGGCATCTGGGACCATGCCAACCGGACTAATCCCTGTGATGCCAACCGGACCAATCCCTGTGCCTATCTTCAGGTCCCCTGCCGTCCGAACATCAGCAGGCTCTGCTCAATGCCCGATGCCTTTGAGATCCACTGGTCTATCTCTAGGTGGTGGCCGCCAAGCCTGCCCAGGAAGGTACATGAGGTCATTGGGGATTGAACCCACAACCTCCTCCACGCCACCTGCGGGCCTTACCAACTGAGTTAGGCCGCTGGATTTTTCGTTTGCAGTGTTTTCCGTCGTGATAAGTGTGGCAGTGGAGGAGGGATTATGAACCTTCTCCTCTTGTTCCTGAGGCCTCGCCCAGTGGGGTGTGAAGCATTTGTGTGGTCTCGTTTTCTTCTGTAGTGCGGGGGAAGGCCGGCAGGTGGGTGACCTCGCGTGACATCCAGCCAGTGCCCGCCGCCGCGCGAGATCCCAGCTGGCGGCCGCTGAGCGAGATCCGAGCTGAAGACGCCAAGGAGCCGGCAGGCGGTGTGGCTACACTGTAGGTAGGTACGACTTGCCACAAGGGATACCTCGCTTGCCACGTGTCGCGCAGCTTGCCACGTGGCGCACTCCAGCTTCATACATTTTTCCTTTCCTCCCTCTTAGGGCATACTCACACTACGACTTCCCTGCATGCATCTGATCGCAATTACAACCAGGTGTGGATGTATCTGAACTTACTGTAATTACGTCCAGGGCCAGCGGCGAAGTCCTATGGTAGTGCGACTCCGCGCTCAATGGACGTTATTGCGGGCAGATACATCCAGGGGCGGCCGGAACCACAGTCAGATTCATCCCGTAAATTCCTAGTGTGAGTTCACCCGTAGTGTACTGCGACCATTGAAAAGAGGAGGGAGGACATATGGCGGGAGGCAAACGAGGTAACGTTCAAAAGAGGGAGATCGCGCTTTTTTTTTTTTTTTTTATATTTCGATCGCGGATTGATTACTGCCGGAGGAAGGTTGGCCTCGCTCACGAGAAGCATCAAACGGGCGCACACGCTGAGAAAGAGGAGACTGTGTGAGTGTGAGTTTTTTTTCTTTTTT